TCACTGCTTTAGCTATACATGCCACTGCAGTTGTGGTAACCAGCAAATGTAACAGTGAAACGGCCATTGTCACAACTGATGAACCCAAGTCCGCTACCTAAGTACTAACTGCGATGCATTTTCGGCCATAATGAAAGTAAACGTTCTTTTGTGTGAGGAGTAAATTTCCTATATGTCAACATGGTTATCGCCGGTCTGCCCCTACGCCCCTTTGACTTGTATTCAGTGGGGAAAAGTGCTCTTCCTAGCGGAAAGAAAACTGAAAGGAAAAACAGTAAACCATGATGTGTGATAAGTTTTTGGAAGCTGGTAGTAGCTTACTGAGTCGTAACCAAATGGGATTTGTTTGTAAACTGTTAGCGTAAAACCCCCGAGAAAATAACCTGTGGCTGTGTACAGTGTGGTCCTCTGATATACAGTTTGTCTCAACTCTGCAAACAACCCATGTTATGGTTCCAGGGCTCAGCATGCTCTATAGTATTGGTATTAATACCAGAACGTGATAGGGAATGTTGCAGTGTACGTATAAGGGAAAAAATTAGAAAATGTTAACCTAATTGCACTCTTACACTACATAAGCCTGCTTTTAGTTTTATGTTTCGTTACAGTTCTGAATTTAGCCCTTATTTTACTGCACTAATCAGTATAACCTTTTACGGCCAGCTTTTCAAGTGGTAATTAGCAAAAAGCCTACTCCGTTTATAAATCCTCGGACTGTTTTAAGTGTGTGTGTGTCCGTCTGTCTGTACCACGTTTTCTGCCGCCACGTGCTACGACCCAGCAAAATAGCTACACTAATGGGATCAGCGCTGCACTGGCTTGATTTTGCGAAAACATAAAAACCCTGCATTCAAAAGTTTTAGAGCCCGACAACCATGTTAACATTGCAATTGAATGTGTATACAGTACTCACACATCTCATTTGCAGTTTTGTGCTTTTGGTTTTTTAAATGTTCTTTACCGACGCATCTGCACCACTTGACAATACACATGCAAGATAAAAAGTGTAGCACTCCATATCTCACTTGTCGTCAGAATTTCATTCCCGTATTAGAGATTCTTCACAGAGTTTCATGAAGAAAGGTTCAGTGTATTTCAGCTATGGTGAAAGTCTAAGGAGGGCTTGTTGCTCCTTCATAAAGAAATCTCCGTCTTTCACTGTTGTGACACCTCAAACAACTTGAGTATGAAATAACGGTTTTTACACCCCTCCAAATGACATATCCCCACAGCACAGTGTGAGAGACAAGCAGCAATAGTGTCGTCAATCCATTAGCAATATCTGTCTCCTGAGAATTTAAGTGTCCTGCCGCATTTGTGGCCACAAAACTTAGAATGAGTAGTAGTCCAGCTGTCAAATCATTTGAATGTTTTTGTTTGTACGACTGTAGCCATAATGCATAATGACGCCACAACAAGAAAGAATATGGCTGTGATTGATGAAACCACGAATTTGTTGGTTTCTTGATGGTTAATGAATGCTACAATGGACACTAACAGCTGTGGAAAACACCTAAGATAAGTAGTCCCCATCCGCATAAACATTGATAATCTTGGAATCCCATTTTTTAAGCTACCGTTAAACATTTGGATCAATGTACCAAAGTCTTGTGTCTGCATATCTTGTGCTGCTTCTTTCTTCACTCATCTGAAATGTTTACCAAATGAGATAAGAGAGTTTTGCATATGACAAATACAACAGGGATGCAAAGGCTTTAATTATGGATGATCTGGGATCTCAGGCTCTGTAAACCTGGACATAAGGTCTGCGAACCAACCTCCACATTTTCATAATGGGTCCAAAATATTTAGTATGCACTTCTATCACTGCGTAAATCAGCAGCAATAGTACAAAAGGATAAAGAGCGGCCACGAATGCTAGGAATGGTATGTAAAACTCTTCCATGTGGTGTGACATGCATAGATGAGGGGAGATGAAGAGAAGAGCATCAAAGCTCCATATGGCACTAAGAGTCAAGGTTGCTTTTGCTAGGTGTGAAGTGATGCTGTATGGTTTGACAAAGGCCAGGTATTAAATCTGCAATATATAACACTACAGCATTTCCAGAATAGTAAGTAGTTGGCTATTGGTGCAGAAGTTCTGTTGGGCCTGAGAATAATGAACCAATACAGCTGTCACCGTGGAAGGCAAGTATTGAAGTAGGGGGTAGTACAAGATATTGATAGGACTACACGACACACATTCAATTCCAATGGAGTACACTGATGGCCTTGTGCCATTGGTGCACCTTCCCCACTTTCACCTCTCGACTGAGATTTCCACACACCACACTGTGTAACTCACTGACGTTTGCCGGGAGGGTAAACATACCATTCTTTGTTGCATGCGCTGGAAAGAAGAATGAACACCAAGAAGCTTTTGTGATGTCTTCGTTATGAAATATAGGAGCCTTGTGAGATTGAAGTTCTCTGCTTTCTTTCATCGCAATGTATGAAGTTTGGTACTTGACTTGGACAGGCACAATATCCAGATGAGTCAGAAGTATTCACCAATTCAAACCATGGAGGACACTCCTTCATACTGCCAACCAAGCATACTGGCGTACAAAGTATTAGAAGCACTGTGAGGACAAAATCCATTATCTCTGTCTTGATAATATCATGTACAGATGTTTTCTTGACGTGAGAAAAGTAGAGTGAGCAAGTCTGCTCCCAAGGGTTTTTGTAACTATCCATGGGAATAGGAAATAATCATATTTGGTGGAACATAAAACTCATCAAATAAACTACAAACTTTTAGTTGCTGTATGGCGTCAGATAATCAAGTGTACTGTGAGTATAGAGTTTACTATATATCCATTGCTAAAGACAGTGCTCTTCATCCCAAAAGGTGTGCTTAATTATGAGCCGTTTGTGTGTCCCAATCCCTACCAAGGCACGTAGGTAGTCTTGTTATCGTAACTAATAGCTATTCTCCATGTAGTAACAACATTCTATCACGTTCAACAAACTCACACACACTCACTAACACCCGCTCACCCCTCATGCACACACACACACACACACACACTGCAGTGTTCAGTGGAGATGCAGCAGATCCTGCGACTGGCCCTCCGTGATGGAGACGAGTGGGTGAGACTGTTTGCCACCATTCTGGCCCCGTTTCCCCATTCCCAGTCCATCGATGTGGAGCCATGTACTGAGGGAAACATGGAGGGGGTCCAAGCTGAAGTTGCTGAAGCATGTATGTTCTATTATTGTATAATAAAGGGAGAAAATGTTTTTAATATAGTAGCTCTTCAGAAGAATTTTGCATAAAGGCAATGTTTCATAAATGGAAGTAGGCCTGCGCATGTAGTGCACTAAACTTAAGTACGTAAAAAATAATATTTAAAGAATTCACAAAGGTTTTTATCTCAACATAGTGACAGTAGTAAGGTGTGAACCCACATTTTTTACTTTAGTGTCCCTGAAGAGTGACTGCTCATTCATTCCCCACGAGTTTGCCTGTCTCAACCACTCGGTGCTCTCTGCCGCTCACAAGTATACTCCGCCCACTGGACACACCCACTTTACTCTGAGACAGCAACCCCAGGCATCAGTCCAGCTCAGGAATGAGATCCTCCAGAAAGGTTGGTGGACCTTTTTTATCATGTGTTACACACTTGAGAGCTACTGGATGTAAATGTAAATGTAAATGAATTATCCTAGCATTATAATCTGCCCCAAAACTTTTTCATTAGTATGACTTAAAGATTTCATGATGGGTTGTATATACGTACGTAGCTACGTATTCCATGTTTCTTTTCTTCCCTCCCCAGCTGAGATGGATTTTGCCCAGACAGGGTCCCTAGTCAAAGATAGGCATCTCCTCCAGCGACAAATGTCTGCTACTGGTGTGTTTACTACTTCTTATTAGCACATATCCACCACATACTAACTTTCCCCTTATAACAATTGTCCATGCCTTTTTTACTCATTGTATTTTCCGTTTTGGTATAGGTTCAAACCCGTTTGTATCCACGTCTCGTTCCAGTAGCAGCAGGAAGTCGGTGCCCATTCCAGGCCACACGGCCTCTCGTGTTCAGAGAGAGAGAGGCACAAAGGTACACATGACTCCTTCTGTGGATTTAGCATTCAGAGTTTCAGTTTCATGTTGGTTCTTTGTTGTGTTTTCCCTTTTCTCTCTCAGCTTCTTGACATTAATGAAGTGCCACTCAATTTCAAAAGAAAGAGACGAGCAGTAGCTGGTATGTTATAATTAACCCTATCGGCACGTAATGTGGTGTTTTTGGTACATAAGCTCGTACCTTGCGTTAGCTGCGGCAACATACTACATGGCCTGAAGCTAAGCGCTACGCGAGTGGTACATTAACGTTATTCAGCAACATTTACATGCATGTCCGTATAGTACGTAATTGCCAGAAGTCTATCGTTCTAGGGGTGATGCTTTAGATCATTACGCTTTCTCTAGCCTAGAAATTGGCTAAGTTCCGAGTGTGATTAAGTCTCGTGCACACATCACCAGACTTGGAGCTACCAGGTGGTGGTGGGGAGTCAAAGAAGACCAGGACCTCCTCCAAGAGCGAACCAGACACACCCACACCCACGTTGCAGTCTGCAACACCAGACTATGCGGCGGGGCTGGGGGTGGAGTTTCCACCAGCCACACCCACCTCGTCTCGGGCGGTGGTAGGGGGCGGAGACGTCACTGGAGGGGCGGCGGCGGCCTCGGGTAAAAAGGGAGCACTGGAACTGGCTTTGCAGAGTCCCACAACATCTCTGGCCAGTGACTCTCAGAAACCTCAGGTTTGTTCTAGTATCTTGAATGTTGAATGGTTTACTTTTGAAGTAAGTCCAAAAAGCTTGGCCAGTTTTCTATTTTCACACTGCCATTGTAATTGTGATGACTGTGTAGGCTCTCATAACAATGATATATAGTCATCCACCATAGTGTTAATCTTTATGCATAATTGAGGGAATGTGGCAGTGCATAAGGGCACTTTTTAGAGAAGCTATATACTAGCTACCCAATGCAAGAATGAAATTAGTTTCTAAATTTAGCCCTTGTACTGAGAATGACTAGACCTATTATTCCTGCAGAGCTCAACTACACCTGTTACACCGTTCTACTCTCTGACGTCGCCCACATACCAGCCGTATCCCAGGGCAACGGCCACTCCCAGTGGCCCCATCCCACCCCACATCAGTCCCTTCACTCCCGGCACTCCCTCCACCCCCACCCTCCCAACCTCCCCCAGCACACCTCAGCCCAAGCTGAAAGTCACTGTGAGTTGTGAATTCATTGTAACGGCATGTGTACCATGCACCACCTCACCCTTGGTTTGGTCATCTACGAGAGACATGCTTCCTGGCAGCACCTATTCCAGTCATGCATAGATCTTAGGCAGCTGGATAGGAAGTATTCGTGTGGTTATATCTGACTGTGTATGCCGAAACGATAGGCATTTTGCTTTTTGACTCTATTGTAATCAATATCTGGTTATGCACTTTGCTCTTTATCTGAATGAAATGTAAGTGAGGTCTGAAAACATGGAAGGCGCGAAGGGGCAACACCGATGTTGACCTGTTCCGTCAGTATGGGGCACTAACCCTTTGGACACCATGGGTGTCTGCTTAAATAGGCAGAAATTAATGCATGAATTATTAGCGTCTAAACTTATGGACTTATGGAGATCATGGACACATTTGTGTCCGTGGCTGGTTAAGTGTTAACATTTTACAAGTACTAGACCAGCAACAAACCAAACTTTTCCAAAGTTGCCTGTATGGTATTTGCGGCCCATAGATGTACATGTACGTACGTATGTTCAATTCAAAACGACAAATGCCTGGTTTTGGCGCACGCGTAAGTAAACGCATGCGTGGTAAGCTTATCACTAATTGATGGGCTGGGTTTAGTTTTAGGTCGTGGTCTCTTGCCAGCTCGCGCAGAGTCTGACACGGGCTAACTACACTACTAGATAGCATGCGAGAGGCGATACACGCCCTGTGTAGCATCTTCTAGTGCCTCCGAGGTGCGCAGAGCACGCGGATCGATCAGACCGTGGTAAGCCATCCCGTCCATTGTGTATTTGCATATTGGCTTTTTCGCGCTCTAGCTTTGCAACGGAGCATTTTCATAGAAAACTGCACAAAAGTTCTGACTTTCATTTCCCTTTAAGTAGGTTGTATCATTTGTGAGACGAAAAAACATTCGAGAAGCGAGATGTTGGGTAACAGGCAGACAGACACACAGACAGACAGACAACCCAACTACCATACCCTCGCTCTGCATGCGCACCGAGGGTAATAAGGTCAATCTCTGAATGAATCCTCACTGAACTCTAGCTACACCACTCACCTGTATCTCTCCCAATGCACACAGCGTCAGCAGCTCCTGATAGCCCAGGAGATGTTCAAAGAGAGCCAAAATCTTACCAGAGAGCACAAAGCTCTCATCCTTGGTTTCATGGCCGGAGCCAGAGGTCAGTTCCTGTCATTAATATGATTACAATAGTCTACATTGTTAGAGCTTCCCTTTAGATATTGAACCTCTGTCCAGATATTATTGCAATACTGCCTCCACTATGCAGCTTCATTACTGTATGTTACAGAGTATGTACAAGTCATACCTGTGATTCACAACTTGCCTCTTTGGAACACACACGCTCACAGATTTCTCACGCATTGATGTTCTTTTCTAGCAAGTCCGTACTTATGCGTCTTGTTACTAGCCACCACCAACAACATGTGTACACCATGCATGACGGTGGGCAACACCCGTTCTTGCACATAATTATTGTTTATCAATGTACTCAAGAAAATTTCATCAAATACGCTAGAAAATATTGTTCTTCTGCAGAAAACCCATACCCCAACCGTGAGGTGGTAACAATTAAGCTAAACGACAGGGTGCAGGAGGAGAGTGAGGGGAAGAAGGTTCTCATTGAGACAGTCTTTGAGATGAACTACAAGACTGGGATGTGGAGGAAACTCCAGTACAAGAGACCTCATCAGTGAAATAGTTTTACCACTGACAGTAAAGTATGACTAAGAGCACAATTAAAATTGTGTATAGGGTATATACTGAAGGTATGAATGGATTAATTTGATTACTCTTACTGTTGCACTGAAAATAACCAAAATATTTTAACACACACTTAACTCGTATGCACAATAGTTTAGTAACGTGAACATGAATACACATAGCAGTGGCCATAATCTTCCTTACTTAAGCGTAAGCCATATTATTCTCGCAAAGTGGACGACATCACATCCGCTGCACCGCTGGTTACAGGTATGCATATTGTAACGACATACTTTCGGGGTCCCAACCTCTGTTAGCCAACCCGAAACTAAGAATGACTAGGTTGGAGTGATCAAAGCTCAAGTAAATGGCCAGTCCATGTCAAAGTATGCACCTGTGCAGAATTGATCACTGCCTCATTACCAAAAAAGGAAACTGGGATATTTTCGCACATGTGTGATGAATGCCTGGATGCCACACATTTATTTACATGTTACATAATTGCTGTAACCGTCTAGAGAAGCTGTATACACTGTCTTCTCCACGCATAATACACCACTGTTTTTGCCTACAGTCTCACTGTTCCTTCATTATCCATGGTGACATGTTCCCATTTGTAGCAACCAATTCCTGTTGTATCACGTGCACATGCAGAGTCAGAGAACAGTTTTACTTGAAAATTGTACAAGTAAATTTGCCTTTACAATAACATTGTGTTAGTGTTCAGCACAAACACTTCTATATAATTACCCATGCTTTCAACCTTTTAAACTTTAGAACTGTTTTGAATGTCACGTTTCTCCCACCATTTCATTTAGGCACTCCTTGCTTTCAATGTATATGATACCACTGCACGCACTAACAGTACTTGGTCTCTATGTTGGGAATCTCAGTCTCCAAAATTTCACTCCAATGCCTCCACCTAATATGGAATAATATTATTGTCCATTTATAAACTTGAAGCGCTGATTTTTTCACTGAACGTCTCCAATTTTGCCGGAGGTGTGCACGGACATCAAGCGATCGTTTCTTTCTTGCCGCAAGTCACTATACGGTAGATCATGGAGCTCTTCCATGGTCGACACTGAACAACGCCATTTGCTGCTAACTCAGCATCTGTGAGCCGTGCGCATGCGCCAGGCAGGGGCGCAGCGGCGTTAGAGCGAACAACGTGGTCCCCGTCGTGCGGCCGCTGGTTTTTTGCTCCCGAATTTCGGCCTACCTATCCGTCTTGTGTTAAGGAGCTACTGTTGTGTGTACTTTAGCTAGCTGCAATCCAGCTCATTGCGAATATTCTTTCCGTGTCTGTCTTGTCCGCACTGCTGACAATTGTGCTGGAGTCGCCACGGTCAAAAGTAAGTCTTGCTATTGCGAATACGAAAATAAATCATCACGTATATTTTATTAGGGGTGCCTGACAACTCTCCTTCCAGTTCAACTCTAGCCTGCACTTCTCTGCTGACAGTCGTGGCTGATAACAAGAACCCCACCCTGTTCCTTCAATCGCAAGACCCTCCATTGCGCTCTACCACAGCTCTGCTGTCGTCACTGCCACCTGGGCTTCTCCATCCTTTGAGATAAGTTCGAGTTTTTGCCCTATCGCTTAAAAGAAGGAGGGCAGTAAAGTGTTTTCCTGCCCCTTATCACCACTGCTGACTTGTACATTCCTGCACCCTTATATATACCACTTCTGGCCTAGCCTTTGTTGCACTGCCAACTTCTAGTGTAAGAGTACTCCTTACCCTGTCTGTCTACTCCTCTGTATTATGCTTTGTTTTTCACTTGATGGTGCATACTATCTATATGTTGAAAGGGGTTGGACTGCAACTGCACTTTCAAGCTAGACCCTGAACCCTACAAACTTCTGGCTTCTACTGCCCACTTGCTACTAGCTATATACCCCTGATTTGGCCTCCACCTTTCACTTCAGCTGGAATAGACCTCTCCTAAAGAAAAATCGATCCTTCACAATTCACAACAAAGCATATTGTATAATGAATGTAGGGTTAGTTTTGTACTTGCGCAAGGGCCCGCTAGTCTCTTGCACAAGAATCGCACAAAATTGCAAACTACGTCACGGCCATCGCTCCTGCCCCCACAATGCACTGCGAGTGTGTGTGTGTGATCAAATCTTCAAATCACAAATCTGCAGTGCATAAATCTCTACCCGCGCGTGTGTGAACCCTAATGTGTGCTACCCCTCGCTCGCCGCTCTACACTGCAAAAGGGTGGAGCTGATCATGTGTACAAGCAAGTTACTGTATACTATCCCTCTACGACCTTTGTATAATATTCACCTACGTAGGGTCCGTTTGGGTGTTTTGATATAACTTTACACAGATAATTTTCTAACTAGTAGTTGTACTTTTATAAATACTCTGCTATTCTTATTCAGGATGTCCTCGCACCTTTTTCTTGTCGGTATTTCAGCTGAAGCATCTTTCTTGTTGGTATCCTTTTTCATAATTTATGCCTTCCCTACATCCCCCTTTTTCCACTTGTACAATATCCACAGGTGCATAGCACAACAAAGCAGTTGTGTGAAACTTGGGTCCAACTCACTGGGGTGACTACTTTTTACGGCCCCATACAGGCTACAAAAAACCTAATTAACATTCAAACTAAATCCGTGACTGTCTCTTATCCATAGTAGTTAATTCAAAAGACATAGTTAATTAAGGAGCCGCCTTCCGTCACCATTGGCTTCATTTGGGCACCTGTAGCAGTGCGACGTAATTGTTTTCAGCACTCTCCAAACTACATAACTCCAGAGTACGATGTGAGGTACCAGCAGAAGAATAGTCATGAATACTTTGGCAGTATTCTCTGTCTCCGGCGAATGAACAATTCCTGTTGCCAACAAACTGACAAGGACTAGAAGTCCAGCTGTTAGGATATTAGAATTTCTGTCTTTGTAAGGTTGTTCCCATACACAGAGAAAGGCAATCACAGAAACAAAGATGGCCATGGTATATGCAAATATGAATGTTTTTTTTGTGGACCGTATATTATTGATATGATGGAAATTAGCAGGCCGAGAAAAGGGCAAGAAAGAAGTAGTCCCCAGCCACACAAACATCGATAATCTCGAGTTGCATTTGTGCCATCTTTGAAACAACCGTTAAAAGTTTCCACGTATGTTTTTATTCTAAGCCTCCACTTTGGACTGATCCAGTGACTGATCTTCCTGTACAGTGAGGTGGGGTAGACCACTAGGATGAGGAGAGGTGGAAGAAAGACACACACTGTCATAGCCACTGAAAATACCATTAACAAGACATGTTTGTTGGAGCCATAAGCAACATTTGGATCAGTGTATAGTAGTCTTATGTGTTGCTTTCCTTTGTTACCTCTTACGTTGCTCCATTCAAATGCCTGCCAGATAAGATAAGTGAGCCTGGCATATGACAAATAGAACAGTGATGCAAAAAAAAAAGAGTACATAGTTGGCCATTGGTCCCGAAGTAATATTTGGCCTGAAAATGATAACCAACAGAGATATCAAAGTCGAAGGCAGGTATTGGAGAAGTATGTAGTACACAACATTTATGGGACTGCATGAAACACATTCAACTCCAACTGAATACACAGAAGGCCCAGTATCATTAATGCATCTTCCACAGGAAGGACTTTTCACCTCTCGACTGAGATTTCCGCACACGACACTTTTTATCTCGTTGACATTAGCTGGGAGGGCAAACATTCCATTTCTTGTTGCATGCTGTGGAAAGATGAACGGACACCAAAAATCTCTAACCATATCCTCTTTTGAGTCGTAGAAAGTACAATATCCTTGTAGCAATGAAGACATCTGGTTTCTTTGATCACAACGTATGCCTAGAGGCAGTTTTCTGGCACAGGCGCAATAACCTGAGGAGTCTGAGGTATTCACCCATTCAAAACATGGAGGACACTCCTTCATACCGTCAACCAAGCATACTGGCGTACAAAGTATTAGAAGCACTCAGAGGACCAAATCCATTTTCTCTGCTTGTACAGACGTTTTCTTGATGTGAGAAAGTAGAGTGAGCAAGTTTGCTCCAAGGCTCTTTGTATATAACTATCCATTGAAATAGAAAATAACTCTGTATTGCAAAACACATCAAAATAAGGTATTTGTGGGTTGTTGAAAAGTTTTAGTTGCAGTATGGAGTCAGATAATGTACTGTGAGTACAGAGTGTGCTATCCAATAGTCATCCCCAGAGGTATGTATTCTTTATACAAGCCACTTGTTTGTTCCAAACCTCACCATTCACCAAAGCACAAGTGTAGGGCTACTTCTATGTATGTAAGTTCTTTGGTATATAATCACTCAAGCTCCACAAACTCACACACACCCACTCAGAAGGCAGGTATTGGAGAACACAACGTTTATGGGACTGCATGAAACACATTCAACTCCAACAGAATACAGCAGAAGGCCCAGTATCATTGATGCATCTTCCACAGGAAGAACTTTCACCTCTCAACTGAGATTTCCACACACGACACTATTTAACTCGTTGACATTAGCTGGCAGGGCAAACATGCCATTACTTGTTGCATGCTGTGGAAAGAGGAACAGAGACACACACACATTCAGAGTAAAAAATCCCCTTTGCCATCCCGGGGTGTTTGAGAGACGATGCCAACAGGTATGACCCAAGGCAGGTATGTGTATCTTGTCTATTCTTGTCACAACAAGGCAGTAAGGATGTAGGTAAACTTCGTGCATGCATACTACCTTTTACTGTCACAACCTAAAATAGCACTTAGAAAAACGGACAAACTGAACTGTAACACAACAAACTAAACGCTTAGCAAAACAAACTGACAAATACTGCGTACATGCCAGACTCTGTAAAACAAGGGAATGGTCCCGCCCCAGTGGTAGTGAGGCATAGGTCAGGAGATAAAAGGGACCAAAACCTGTGACGTACACAAGTATGTGGAAGCACACTGTGGTTTGTAACTCCATGAACAGCCTGAGTGTATGTCCGGTGGCCTGGTGCTTTGATAACGCCGGCAAGTCCCCCCTCCCGGTCTCTGTCACTACACCTCGTTCCCCACAACTCTTCCCCTCCTTTCTCTTCTTAACCCATACCAAACACACACAGAAGGCAGGTATGGGAGAAGTATGTATGTAGTACACAATGTTTTTGGGACTGCATGACTCCAACAGAATACGCAGAAGGCCCAGTATCATTAATGCATCTTCCACAGGAAGAACTTTCACCTCTCGACTGAGATTTCCACACACAGCACTATTTATCTCGTTGACATTAGCTGGGAGGGCAAACATTCCATTACTTGTTGCATGCTGCGGAAAGATGAACGGACACCAAAAAAGCTCTAACCATGTCCTCTTTAGAGTTGTAGAAAGTACAATAACCTTGTACCAGTGAAGACACCTGGTTTCTCTGCTCTCAATAATGTGCCTAGAGGCAGTTTTCTGACACAGGCACAATGAAAAGCACTATAGTGCAAACCCTAGGCGCAACTAGACACACGTGGATGTCTGTGCAGAATTGAACACTACTTCCTTCCCAAAAAAGGAAACTGGGATGTTTTCGCACGTGTGTGATGAATGCCTGGACGCCACACTATTTACATTATTGCTGTTTGCATGTAACCGTCGAGACGGGCTGTATACACTGTCTTCTCCAGGCATGATACACCACTGTTTTTGCCTACAGTCTCTCATGGCGACACGTTCCTTCATTATCCATGGTGACATGTTCCCACGTGAAGCAACCAATTGCTGTTGTATCACGTACACATGCAGTCAGAGAACACTTGTAGTTGACAAGTACATTTGCCTTTACAACAACATTGTGTTAGTGTTCAGCACAAACACTTCTAATTACCCAGACTTTCAACCAATGCAAACTATATGACTGTTTTGAATGTCACGTAAGTAAACGTTTCTCATTTAGGCACACTTTGCTTTCAATGTGTATGATACCACTGCACACACTAACAGTACTTGGTCTCTGTGTTTGGAGTCTCAGTCTCCAAATTTCACTCCAACGCCTCCACCTAATATGGAATTGTCTGTTCTTAAGTACAGTACAGTGGAAGTGAAATCTTAGTGCATGTCAACAACAACGCAAGGTTTAAAGGCAAAGGCAAAGCAAACAAGTGAAATCATCTCTTTTGTATTGCTGTCAATGTTAGGTGAAATAAATTTTCAACCAATCATAAAATACACAATGTCTACAGGTGCATGCAACAAAGCAATTGTGTGAAACTTGGATGACAATCACTAAGGTTACTACTTTTTTACGGTTGAGACAACCTAATTAAAATTCAAACGAAATCAGTGATTGTCTCTCATTCGTAGCATTGCATACAAAACACTTCAGTTCATTCGTTAGGAGTAATGATGAAGCAGCCCCTCTCTTTCACGGTAGGCTTCATTTTGACACCTGTAGCAGTGCGACGTAATGGTTTTCAGCACTCTCCAAACTACATAACTCCAGAGTACAATGTGAGGTACCAGCAGAAGGATAGATACGAATACTTCGGCATCAGTTCCTGTTATCAACAAACTACCAAGGAATAGAAGTCCACCGGTTAGGATATTCGATTTTCTTTCTTTGTAAGGCTGCTGCCATATGCAGAAAAAGGCAATCACACCTACAAAGATGGCCACGGTATAATTTCCAGATAATATGATAATATGAATGCTTTTTTTAGTGGACACAAGCAAACAAGTGAAATCAACTCCTTTGTATGTATTGCTTTCAATGTTAGGTGAAATAGATTTGCAACTTGTCATGCAATATACAATGTCCACATGTGCATGCAACAAAGCAATTGTGTGAAACTTGGATGAAAATGACAAAGGTTACTACTTTTTACGGTTAGGACAACCTAATTAAAAAAATGATGGGGAATTGTCTCTTATTCGTAGCATTGCATTAAAAAAACACTTTAGTTCATTCGTTCGGAGTAATGATGAAGCAACCCCTCTCTTTCACTATTGGCTTCATTTTGACACCTGTAGCAGTGTGAAGTAATGGTTTTCAGCACTCTCCGAACTACGTAACTCCAGAGTACGATGTGAGGTACCAGCAGAAGAATAGTCACGAATACTTTGGCAGTATTCTCTGTCTCCGGCGAATGAACAATTCCTACCGCCAACAAACTAATAAGGACTAGAAGTCCACCGGTTAGTATATTAGAATTTCTGTCTTTGTAAGGCTGCTGCCATGTGCAGAAAAAGCCAATCACACAAAGAAAGATGGCTGTGATATATGTGGCAATGAATGTTTTTTTTGGTGGACCGTAAATTATTGCTATGATGGAAATCAGCAGGCAGAAAAAAGGGGAAAAAAGAAGTAGTCCCCAGCCACACAGCGATCGATAATCTCGAGTTCCATTTGTACCATCTTTGAAACAACCGTTAAAGGTTTCCACGTACGTTTTGATTCTTAGCCTCCACTTTGGATTGATCCAGTGACTGATCTTCCTGTACAGTGAGGTGGGGTAGACCACTAGGATGAGGAGAGGTGGAAGAAAGACAAACACTGCCACAGCCGTTGAAAATACCATCAAACTGACATGTTTATTGGAGCCAAAAGGAACATTTGGATCAATGTATAGTAGTCTTATGTGTTCTTTTACTTTATTGTGTCTTACGTCACTCCATTCAAATGCCTGCCAGATAAGATAACTGAGCCTGGCATATGACAAATAGAACAGTGATGCAAAGGCTTGAATCATGGATGATCTTGGGTCCCAGGCTCTGTAGAATTGCACGTAGACTCTGCTGAACCACCTCCACAAGTATACAACAGGCACAAAGTTTTTTCTGTGCATTTCTATCACTGCATAAGTCAGCAGCAATAGTAAAAAAGGATAAAGAGTAGCCACGAATTCTAGGAATGGTATGTAAAACTCTTCCATGTGGTGTGATATGCATAGGTGGGGGGAGATGAAGAGAAGAGCATCAAAGCTCCATACTGCACTTAGGGTTAATGCTGCCTTTGCTGCGTTTGTGATAGCATCATGTGGCTTGACAAAAATCCACAAATTTAACCTGAAATAGATCACTGAAAATTACAGAAGAGTACATAGTTGGCCATTGGTCCGAAGTATATTGGCCGTGATTGATGACAATTAGAACATCACCATGGATGGCAAGTATTGTAGTAGAAGTAGTAAAACAGAGATTACATAGGACTACGATGGAACACATTCGAGTTCCATGGAGTGAGTGACACATGCTGCCCGTGCCATTGGTGCACCTTCCACACCTTGGACCTTTCATTCACCTCACGACTGAGATTTCACACACACACACTGTTTAACTCACTGACGTTTGTCTGGAGGGTAAACATGCCGTTTCTTTGTTGCAATGCGCTGGAAGAAAAAATAAGCAACGATGTAGCACGTATAGTGTCTTCCTTGCGGTTGATAGAAAATGCAGGAGCCTAGCCTTGTGAGATTGAAGATCTCTCGTTTCTTTTCTTTCATCGCAATGTATGAAGTTTTTGGCAATTCACTGGCAGTCGCATATCCAGATGCGTCTGATGATTCACCCATTCAAACCATGGAGGACACTCCTTCACTGCTTTAGCTATACAGGCCACTGCAGTGTGTGGTAACCAGCAAATGTAAGCAGTGAAGCGCCATTGTCTGTCCCCGAAACAAC